AACCGCCAAAATACTCTGACCTGAGTCAAGCTGCAGCAGCAAGTGATGTCATAGACAGGGCCTTTTGAACACCTGCTAATGTTTTTATAAATGTATGGTTTAATGTAACTGTGCAACAACGTTGCAATTAAATGTGCTAGACTACTGGTGGAGGCAAGAACACTTCACACAATTTCCCCAGAAATTGTAGCTTTTCTAGTTTTCACAATATAATCATTTGTTTGCAACTAACGCCGTCCATTGACATTCATTGAAACTTCACTCAACAAAGCTCAAATTTGAAGTGCAATTGCTAAACTGCAACTGTGCCTTCATTGTTAATACTTCAGAGACATACTATGCATCAAAATGTAGGTCTGGGTCTTGTGATTCTCACAATATAAAGCTCTTCACTGTAGGATTTATAGTTTTTAAAATACGACCGTTTGAAGATGGCTACCGCCAAAATATCTGACCTGTGCCAGGCTGCAGCAGCAATTGATGTCATAGACAGGGCCTTTTGAACACCTGCTAATGTTTTTATAAATGTATGGTTTAATGTAACTGTGCAACAACGTTGCAATTAAATGTGCTATATAAAGTATAACAGTTACTCCGCCCACTCCAGTTGTAGACTACTGGTGGAGGCAAGAACACTTCACACAATTTCCCCAGAAATAGAAGTTTAGTTAAGTGTTCTGCATAGCAGCACTAATTTAATGTTATCTCATATATATATTATTATTATTATTATTATAGCAAAATTTGCCACCCTAACTCCCTCCCACAGTTTTACACTACATAGACCAAAATTCTACCAAAACGCAGATTTCGTTCCCGACCGTGGATTGCTATTACTTTGTGGAACGCTTCTCACTTAATGGTTCACGGAATATCGCCAAGCTGGTGGCTAAATTTGTCCCATAGGAATGAATGGCAAAGCTAGAGTGGGCAGCTAGAGGGTAAAAGCTGAAAAATCAGGACATGATTTCTAAACTGCCACCACTCCCTTATTTTCAGGCCCACCTACACAAATCCTATATCAAAACGTTCAGCTATCCCTGCTGCCACTAAACATGTCAACGGCTAAGCCGTAGTCCCGATAGTTTTCACAATATGACCATTTGTTTGCAACCAACGCCGTCCATTGACATTCATTGAAACTTCACTCTGCAAAGCTCAAATTTGAAGTGCAATTTCTAAACTGCGACTGTGCCTTCATTTTTAATACTTCAGAGACATACTATGCATCAAAATGTAGGTCTGGGTCTTGTGATTCTCACAATATAAAGCTCTTCACTGTAGGAGTTATAGTTTTTAAGATACGACCGTTTGAAGATGGCAACCGCCAAAATACTCTGACCTGTGTCAAGCTGCAGCAGCAAGTGATGTCATAGACAGGGCCTTTTGAACACCTGCTAATGTTTTTATAAATGTATGGTTTAATGTAACTGTGCAACAACGTTGCAATTAAATGTGCTATGTAAATGATAACAGTTACTCCGCCCACTCCAGTTGTAGACTACAGGTGGAGGCAAGAACACTTCACACAATTTCCCCAGAAATTGTAACTTTTCTAGTTATTATTATTATTATTATAGCAAAATTTGCCACCCTAACTCCTCCCACAGTTTTTACACTACATAGACCAAAATTACCAAAACGTGCAGATTGTTCCCGATCGGATTGCTATTACTTTGTGGAACGTTTCGCCGAATGGTTCACGGAATATCGTCGTTTTTGTGGCGCAATTTGTCCCATAGGAATGAATGGCAAAGCTAGAGTGGGAGCTGGCAAAAGCTGAAAAATCAGGACATGATTTCTAAACTGCCACCACTCCCTTATTTTCAGGCCCACCTACACAAATCTTATATCAAAACGTTCAGCTATCCCTGCTGCCACTAAACATGTCAACGGCTAAGCCATAGTCCTGATAGTTTTCACAATATGACCATTTGTTTGCAACTAACGCCGTCCATTGACATTCATTGAAACTTCACTCTACAAAGCTCAAATTTGAAGTGCAATTTCTAAACTGCGACTGTGCCTTCATTTTTAATACTTCAGAGACATACTATGCATCAAAATGTAGGTCTGGGTCTTGTGATTCTCACAATATAAAGCTCTTCGCTGTAGGAGTTATAGTTTTTAAAATACGACCGTTTGAAGATGGCAACCGCCAAAATACTCTGACCTGTGTCAGGCTGCAGCAGCAAGTGATGTCATAGACAGGGCCTTTTGAACACCTGCTAATGTTTTTATAAATGTATGGTTTAATGTAACTGTGCAACAACGTTGCAATTAAATGTGCTATGTAAATGATAACAGTTACTCCGCCCACTCCAGTTGTAGACTACTGGTGGAGGCAAGAACACTTCACACAATTTCCCCAGAAATTGTAGATTTTCTAGTTATTCTTATTCTTATTATAGCAAAATTTGCCACCCTAACTCCTCCCACAGTTTTTACACTACATAGACAAAAATTTACCAAAACGTGCAGATTGTTCCCGATCGGATTGCTATTACTTTGTGGAACGTTTCGCCGAATGGTTCACGGAATATCGTCGTTCTTGTGGCGAAATTTGTCCCATAGGAATGAATGGCAAAGCTAGAGTGGGAGCTGGCAAAAGCTGAAAAATCAGGACATGATTTCTAAACTGCCACCACTCCCTTATTTTCAGGCCCACCTACACAAATCTTATATCAAAACGTTCAGCTATCCCTCCTGCCACTACACATGTCAACGGCTAAGTCATAGTCCTGATAGTTTTCACAATATAATCATTTGTTTGCAACTAACGCCGTCCATTGACTTTCATTGAAACATCACTCTGCAAAGCTCAAATGTGAAGTGCAATTTCTAAACTGCGATTGTGCCTTCAATTTTAATACGTCAGAGACATACTATGCATCAAAATGTAGGTCTGGGTCTTGTGATTCTCACAATATAAAGCTCTTCACTGTAGGAGTTATAGTTTTAAGATACGACCGCTAGAAGATGGCAACCGCCAAAATATTCTGACCTGTGTCAAGCTGCAGCAGCAAGTGATGTCATAGACAGGGCCTTTTGAACACCTGCTAATGTTTTTATAAATGTATGGTTTAATGTAACTGTGCAACAACGTTGCAATTAAATGTGCTATGTAAATGATAACAGTTACTCCGCCCACTCCAGTTGTAGACTACAGGTGGAGGCAAGAACACTTCACACAATTTCCCCTGAAATTGTAACTTTTCTAGTTATTATTATTATTATTATAGCAAAATTTGCCACCCTAACTCCTCCCACAGTTTTTACACTACATAGACAAAAATTTACCAAAACGTGCAGATTGTTCCCGATCGGATTGCTATTACTTTGTGGAACGTTTCGCCGAATGGTTCACGGAATATCGTCGTTCTTGTGGCAAAATTTGTCCCATAGGAATGAATGGCAAAGCTAGAGTGGGAGCTGGCAAAAGCTGAAAAATCAGGACATGATTTCTAAACTGCCACCACTCCCTCATTTTCAGGCCCACCTACACATATCTTATATCAAAACGTTCAGCTATCCCTGCTGCCACTAAACATGTCAACGGCTAAGCCATAGTCCTGATAGTTTTCACAATATAATCATTTGTTTGCAACTAACGCCGTCCATTGACTTTCATTGAAACTTGCTTGGTTGTATAGGGAGAGGTATTAGCAGTAGAAAGAGGGAAGTGCTCATGCCATTTTACAGAACACTGGTGAGACCTCACTTGGAGTATTGTACACAGTACTGGAGACCGTATCTTCAGAAGGATATTGATACCTTAGAGAGGGTTCAGAGAAGGGCTACTAAACTGGTTAATGGATTGCGGGATAAAACTTACCAGGAAAGGTTAAAGGATCTTAACATGTATAGCTTGGAGGAAAGACGAGACAGGGGGGATATGATAGAAACATTTAAATATATAAAGGAATCAACACAGTAAAGGAGGAGACTATATTTAAAAGAAGAAAAACTACCACAACAAGAGGACATAGTCTTAAATTAGAGGGACAAAGGTTTAAAAATAATATCAGGAAGTATTACTTTACTGAGAGGGTAGTGGATGCATGGAATAGCCTCCAGCTGAAGTGGTAGAGGTTAACACAGTAAAGGAGTTTAAGCATGCGTGGGATAGGCATAAGGCTATCCTAACTATAAGATAAGGCTAGGGACTAATGAAAGTATTTAGAAAATTGGGCAGACTAGATGGGCCGAATGGTTCTTATCTGCCGTCACATTCTATGTTTCTATGTTTCTATGTTTCTATGTTTCTATGAAACTTCACTCTGCAAAGCTCAAATTTGAAGTGCAATTTCTAAACTGCGACTGTGCCTTCAATTTTAATACTTCAGAGACATGCATCAAAATGTAGGTCTGGGTCTTGTGATTCTCACAATATAAAGCTCTTCGCTGTAGGATTTATAGTTTTTAAAATATAACCGTTTGAAGATGGCAACCACCAAAATACTCTGACCTGTCAAGGCTGCAGCAGCAAGTGATGTCATAGACAGGGCCTTTTGAACACCTGCTAATGTTTTATAAATGTATGGTTTAATGTAACTGTGCAACAACGTTGCAATTGAATGTGCTATATAAATGATAACAGTTACTCCGCCCACTCCAGTTGTAGACTCCTGGTGGAGGCAAGAACACTTCACACAATTTCCCCAGAAATTGTAGCTTTTCTAGTTTAACTTGATCTTATTGTTAACAAGCTTGCCAATCTACCTGGGGATTTCTTATCAGTCCTGCTCAAACGGACACTGAGTTTGAGCAGCTTTAGCACTGATAAGATCCCTGTTTTCTAATCCAGATATATGTAATATTAGGCAGGCTAGACAGCTTTCTAATGTAAGTAGAGGTCTGGCACAATTACAGACGACACCCTTCTTACATCTGATAAAAGAATGCTTACAATCTACAATCTGCATTTGCAGATTAGTGATCTGAGCAATTGTTTGTCATCAGTTTGAGCACCACACCAATAGGGTATTTATTGTCAGTACCCACTATATTTTCACTGTTTATACACTAGCACACTCACTTTATATAGTTGCCAAGGCCAGTAAGGTTTTGTCATGTATAAATAGGGGCATAAATTCTCGGGATGAAAATATAATTTTGCCTCTTTATAAATCGCTGGTAAGACCACACCTTGAATATGCTGTGCAACTTTGGGCACCTGTTCTAAAGAAAGATATCATGGCACTAGAAAAAGTGCAGAGAAGAGCTACAAAATTGATTAAAGGAATGGAGCATTTTAGTTACGAAGAAAGGTTAAAAAATTTAAATCTGTTTAGTTTGGGAAAATGGTGCCTGAGAGGGGATATGATAACATTATACAAATATATTCGGGGTCAGTATAAACCTTTATCTGGAAATCTATTCATAAACAGGGCTATACATAGGACACAAGGTCACACATTTAGGCTGGAAGAAAGGAGATTTCATCTAAGGCAAAGAAAAGGCTTTTTTACAGTAAGAGCAATAAGGATATGGAATTCTCTGCCTGAAGAGGTGGTTTTGTCAGAGTCTATATAGATGTTTAACCCCTTAAGGACCAAACTTCTGGAATGAAAGGGAATCATGACATGTCACACATGTCATGTGTCCTTAAAGGGTTAAACTGCAATTGGATAAATACTTGCAAAAACATAACATACAGGGATATAATTTTACCACATGACAGGAGGCTTTGTATTTTGCATATCTCTCTTTATTTTGCAGTAAAGAAACACATAGAAAAAAAAACAAATCACAGGAGAGCAGGATGTACATAAGGCAATGTGACCTCATCATTTCCTCTTTCTTTACTGCTCCATCAAGCAGACAGATCAGAGTATTACTCTTCTCCATTACTTTATGTTTCTATTGCCTCTTTGAGGTTGTTTCTGTATTATATTTTTTTTTATATACTTTGCTGTATGTTCTTGCTGTGCTTCTGTACTATGTGCAGCTGTGTTTTTTCTATGTCATTTCATAGATATTATGTAGATTTAACGTTATCCTTATTTCATAACCTTTACTTGTGATTAATATCACTTGTAATTTATCAGTTTTATAGGCATTTCATCCTTTGTTTTGATAAGTATTACATGTTGCTGCTGTTGGATCAACAGCAACAACATTTGTGAGGAAGGCTGAACTTGATGGATGCAAGTCTCTTTTCAGCTATGTAACTATGTAACTATGTACTTTATAGGTATTTAATGTCATATGTATTTTATAACATGGATTTAATAGGTGTAAGGTGTAAATTTTTTACTGACTTAATAGGTTTTATGTATAGTTATGGTAGATGTACTTTATACCATATGTATCATGACTTTTCTGGCGATTTTCCTGGCCTTCTATACCTGGGGCATCTGGGGACCCTCTTTCCCCGCTTTCCTCCTTCTCCCCAGGGTCTCATGGGGATTCTGGGTCTGGCTGGAGCTTAACCCCTTCCCTCCCGCAGTTCCCGTCGGCTCCCAGGCATTAACCCTTTCTTCCAGCCTATCTGTTCGACCCCTTCCTCCTACAACCCTCAGGGGACGGCCGGACTCACTGTTCTCGCTCTCTCAGGCTGCCCCATACCGTACAACCGGTAATGTGCTGGATGCTTTCCAACATCCACTACCTTAGTGCAGGGCAGTCTGTGGGGCGACCACGAGATAGCCCGAGCATGACGCGGTGGCCATCTTTGATCCCGCATCTTCCGAGACTCCAGGGACTGCGTTCCCCCTCCTTTACCCTCGGCGGCCATCTTTAATCTCGTGTCTCGTGAGATTATGGGCGGCCGTTTTGCTACTCTTGCCCACCACGATTTCGGCGCTCGAGAGTAACATATACCTGGGCTGTTAGCTAGCCTAGCTGCTCTCCTGGTTCACGATGCTCTGACATGGATGTTGGACCCCAGGGTCCCAAATTCAAATCAAGGCAAAGGTAAGTATTCTAACTGGCATATTATTTACAGATCTGAGTCGTACTCTTGTATAGTGGTTCAAGGTACTAGAGCCTTAAAGGGATATCACCCCCAAAAATCCCTTAAAGGGATAGGTTCCTTAAAGATACCATTCTTGGACCCTTAGAGGGAACTCCTTAAAAGGATACCACCCTGGAACTACTTAAAAGGGATACCAAATCCTTAAAGGGATATCACCCTTGAATTCCTTAAAGGGATAGCACCCTTGGACTCAGACTATCAAGATGGTACTGTATAAGTACATATCAGTGATGGGAGATTTGAAGAGATCAGGGTTCAGAAATCTACAACAAGACTCTATGTCTGGTAATGGATGCTCAAAGGGATGACCCCTATCACTTAAGACTACCTGTCAGAACACCTTAGAGCTAGTGTTAATATCCTACTTGTCACTTTTGTCTCATTACTGTCATATTAGGCACTAAAGGGCTTATTACCCTGTGCCTGCTTGTAGTGCTGCCCCTATTACTGTGCCGCTTTTTGGAGGTAGCCCCGTGGCCACCTCTGTGATCCTGGGTGAGGCCCAGTTATACAAATCCCAATATTGTGGTTTGCCCTGCTGGGACAATTTGACTACACTAAGTGACAGATACAGAACACCCGCCCGGGGTTATTAAACCTTACTGTCATTTATACAGACCCTGCTGGGGTCCACTGGCATTATTTACACTACAACAGATACCCTGCTGGGGTACCCCATATCACACACCCTGCTGGGGTTGTTTTGGTACTTTGAGACAATAAAGTGCACACTACTGCATATCACACAACCTGCTGGGGTTGTTTTGATGCTTTTAGACAATAAATTGCACACTACTACACCGTGCTGGGGTCTGCATGGTGCATTGCACACAATGAAACGGATTGTGCTTTCATCCACTCTGTTTTATTTGGCTGCGACCCACGCTTGATGGGTACATACCCCGTGCACCTGAGCCAATCTATTTGGCTAAAAAGGGGACAGAATCGCAAGCTTCAGCGCAGAATATCCCCCATGGAAGTGCATTAATTATTGGAAGAGCTGTAGGACACTCTCTATCTTGCTGATGGCCAGCACTGATGGGTTCATACCCTGTGCAACCGGGGTGAGCCCCCTACAGCACTACTGCTTCTACTCCTACCCCTCTCAACAGCGAGCTTGAGGATTGAAAACCCAGACTTCGGATCTGGGACCGGCACTTACAGGTTCGGACCCGGTGCTCACGGGGTGAGACCCCTACGATAGGCGAACCACACTAACCGACCGAAGGAAGTCTTACGGCAACAGCCTCTACCTACAGCTGAAGGATTACATCCATTGATAATGAATCATGATACGGTACGGGTTTATGCCCTGTACCTATTCGGCGGCCTGCAGTTAAAGGCCCAGGCACAAAGGCCCAGGCACAAGGCACAAAGTTCCGAAGGGAACTTATTAGACACGCAAGGGTCCCACACAACTCATAGGGGCCAACTGATTTGGATATTACCACTCGTCACAGTATAAGTCAAGGCACAATGGTGATTGTACTCCGTCCGACCGGACCTCCCCTAAGGACTTATGCTTCTTATGCTTACAAGGTCTACAGAAATTCTCGAGCAGGCGAGGATCTTCTCCTGCTACATTCATGATCGACAATTCCTCACGGAGCCATAGGGTACTCACATCTTCTATCCCGGGAGGGTCGGCTACCTGGGGACCTGGACCCGCTTTGGGGGTATCTTGGCAGGTCAGTGGACAATCGCAGGCTGCCGGGGACCTCTTGGGAATCTGGGAACCCAGGGATGCAACGACCCTACCCCTACATTTGGACATTCCCAGCCTGTCTGGTTCGGTCCTGCATCTTGATCCCTTATGAGAGGATGGAGACGGAACTGCAGCCCGTATCACTACCTGAGGAGGCCCAAGGAACTAGGATCCTCTAGGATACTAACTACCTCTCCAGCCTATGAGTTGTGGAGGTCGTTCTCCTTTCACTTTACGGGACTAAACATCCTGCTGACAAACGGTCAGACTTGGTCTTGTATAATTTCCCGTTAGATGGAGTATACGTGGGCGCTCAACGGGGAAGACCTCCCCACAATGCCGAATACTGGGTCTCTCGGCACACTGTAGGACTCTTATTTAGTTCTATACTCTTTTCTCAGCGTTAAAAATGCAAAATACGAAGCCTCCTGTCATGTGGTAAAATTGAAGATTATGTTAGCTTTAGAGTACTAATAATCTGAATTTTAATAATGACAGGAGGTGAGTATATTCCACCCCTGCTTCACTGCCCACCCTTTCTATTTGTTTGCTTTGCAGATATCAGGGGCTACGGTAGGTTTGCCTCTCACACTGGTGCTTATACGATATGTTCGTACTTCCATTAATATGGAATCCTCATTAGAGTTCTCATTACAATTACTCAGTTATCAGATTATAGTTACTATATTCTCCAGTGGGATGTTAGGTGGTACGTTAATTGGAGTTACATGTTCGTGACTATGTCTAAACCTGTCACACATTCTCTTTTCAGTATGATTCGTCTCTGAAGATAATTGGCAGTTCAAGTGAAACTAGTGGAGATTTTATCCTTCGGATTTGTCTCAACC